GTCCTCGGGGCCACGGGGGCGAGGAGCAGAGGCGATGAGGAGCATGAGGAGGACGATGAGCAGGAAGAGGAGGCGGTAGGAGTAACCCCAGCCCCTGCGGTCCACGCGCCCGTCGGGCGTGCGCGCAAGCGGCTTCACGTCGGCCTTCCTGAGCGCCATCAGGCGCTCCCCCAGCTCTATAAGGTTGGCTGTCGGGACCCTAAAACACGCTCGATCAAGAGTGGTTGCGACGCGGAGGGATGGGGGGCGATTGATATTGAGGCAAAATACCGATACCGTTGCTCCCTTGACCTCTGCTGCGGCGCGGTCTGGCCAATATTTCGACGCGAATCCAAATGCGAACAGCGATATCGTGGAGACGAGGACGTCGCGGCAGTAAGCGAGTGAGGAGGTCGAGGAGGGGGATGAGGAGGATGAGGACGAGGAGAAATTTTTAGGCGAAGCGCGAGTCAAAGAAACGCTGGTTCCAACATTATGGTTGGGCGGGTGGGAATGAACAAGGTCCGCTATACTTCGTGTGGGATGTCCATATACATGTGCATACACATATGCTACAAACGCTGTTTTTTTAGAAACAGGCATGGATTCAGAAATGTTTTCCGGCTTTTTTTTGGTTTCGGAAAAAAAAAAGTGACACAGAAAAGATTCAAATTTTCAGAAACTTGGGACCTCTGGGAAGAGAGGCCCAGGCCCCCGCGGACGCGCCTCGAGCCTTGGGGGCGGAGCGACATACTATTCGCCACCTTCGAGCACCTCCGCCTGGACACTGGGGCGCGCCTCCTGCTCACGGCCATGCAGGCGGTCCGCGAGGTCTGCCGAACTGGTGGCCTGTGCTTGACGGATCACCCCGCGGACCCAGAGGAGGACCTGTACACGTCTATCGGAACCCCCCCCGAGAGGGCCTGCCTCGGCGAGGAGGCGGGCGGCCAGATCCATCAGATCGACCAGGGCTGCTACGGAGCTTCGCCGATGGAGTCGACCATGAAGGGCATCTTCGGGGTCTACGACGACGCACTGGACCTCGCCGTGGGCCGTCTCCGCCCGAGAGGCAACCACCGAGGGAGGCATCCAGCGATACCCGAGGGGCGAGTGGAGCGGGGCCGCCCCGACATCTGCACCGCCGCCGCCCAGGCTTTCCAGCCCCCGCGGTGCGCCGCGCGAGGGAGGGCGATCCTCGAGGCGTTGGCCCGCATGACGAAGGAGATACAGGGCCCCGATCCAGCGTGCTCGCGGGCCTCTCCAGCTACGACGCCATTCGGGCCGCCGAGGCCGGGAGGGGCGGAGATCGAGGTCTTCCCCGCTGTCCCCTGCTTGGATGCCACCTGCGAGATGGCGGCCACTCTACGTCGGAAGGTGGAGGAGCACGGAGCACACGAACACCAGCGAGATGCGGACCGTGGTGGGCGTGCTCCGACACCTTGCCGGATCGCCACGGAGGCGGATGCTGAAGGTCCTGAGCTTCACCGACGGCATGGTGGCCCAGGGAGCCCCAGGCGAGGGCCATTAGAGCTCATCAGCCCTGTGGCGCCTGGGCCACGGGCACTGCCGCTACGTCCCGCTGGAGCTGAACGTCGCCGAAGGCCTCTCTCCAGGATATCCCCTGGGAACAGCGCCCGAGACGGTGGCAGCCCACTGCGACCGACACCCCGATCCGACGGACAGCCGACCTCGCAGTCTACGCGACCTGGGCCACACGGGTACGGGATACGATGGTGGCTAGCTGCCCTGGCATTGGAGGCAATCCACCCCGTCGGAGCGATTCGCCAGAAGCCGCACACGGCAGGAGACGTTCCCCTGCAGAGGCGGGGGCCGCAGGCGTGGGGCAACTACGAGAAGGAGACGTACCTGGGCATCCGCGAGGGCGGCTCCACAAGGCGATTCACCCGCCTCGTGCCGGACGTGATCACGGTACAGTGGGCCCCGAAGGTGCGGGATATTCTCAGCTGCCGCGTCGACAAGGGTTGGGGGCTTCGGTGCAAGAGCGCCATGGGCCACGCCCTGGCCGACTACAGGGACATGAAGTGCTACCGAGACCGACTCCACCCAACAAGGGGGTCGATCATATTGTCAGGGCGACTGGGGAGTTGGCCTGAGCTGAGGAGCCAGCCCCCCTTGGCCTTGCGAAGCTTAAAGAGTTGTCAGAGGTTGGTCGTCCCTGTGGAGGGAGGCCCGTGGCCGGAGGAGGCCGTCTTCGCCATCGCCGATTACGTTCTGGAGGGGGGCCTCCTGGACGAAGCCATCGGGACCCTCGTGCAGTACGACGCCTACGGGCAGGAGCGGGGCGGCCTGGAGGCCGAGACTTCCCGAGCTGGGGGGGCCCCGCACCAACTACAGCAAGCAGCAGAGGCAGCTGGTCGACAGCAACAAGACGAACTTGAAGATGAAGAAGGTGAAAGAGGTCGCCACGGAGCTCGTGACAACTGGATGGTGGAGAGAGTAAAGCGACAGGCCAAGCGGGGGCGCCCAAGTGGGTGGCTAGGGGCGCCATACGAGGGCTCCCTAGAGGTGTGGCCTACGGGCGCGACCACCACCCCGATGTGTTCTTGGCCGATCGCATGATGAGAACGTTGTGGTCCCCGCCCGCCCACCCTGGACTACAACCTGAAGTATTTCGGCTACGCCAGGCACATCAGATGCGGGAGTGGGAATGAGAATATTCTGAAGCCGATCGCAACTCGAGTTTTTGATGATTGTTGTGATTTGGTTGAGGTTATACACATCTCAATCGGCCTCCCGATGAATTACATTATATATTTGGCCCGTCGGGGCCCTCGTGCAGCGTGTGGTTGAAAACGTACTTCCTATAGGCCGCTTCGCGGCGTTGCTGCACGTCCCGCTGACTGAGACCGAGTTGTCATAGTCAGCTTTGCTGGCCCCCCCGCCTGCCCCCTGAGACGTTGCGATAATGATCGTTTTCCAAACTTAATTGATCGCGTCTCGGGGTGGTGTGGTAGGGGTGGGCCGTGTAAGATAGCAGTGCAGGTCTTATTCCTCCTCCTGCCCTGCCTGTCTTTCGTGTCCGCTCAAACTTTCCCCCCTTTGAACGTTTTACCCAGCCCTGCTCTCACGACACGTGGGAATGATCATATTATGAAGCCGATCGCAACTCGAGTTTTTGATGATTGTTGTGATTTGGTTGAGGTTATACACATCTCAATCGGCCTCCCGATGACTTACATTATATCTTTGGCCCGTCGGGGCCCTCGTGCAGCGTGTGGTTGAAAACGTACTTCCTATAGGCCGCTTCGCGGCGTTGCTGCACGTCCCGCTGACTGAGACCGAGTTGTCATAGTCAGCTTTGCTGGCCCACCGCCTGCCCCCTGAGACGTTGCGATAAGTAATGCTATCATGATGCCCGCGCTTCTGATTGTCAGTTCTCCCATCTTCCATCCTGCATCTGTATGCCTCGTACATTATAATATGCCTCGTGTCGCGTGGACCTCTATCCTCCATCAAGCGGTTCCTGTCGGGATGATTGCATCAGAACTGTGCGCCTCCTCGTATACCTCAACCATCCTGTCGGGTCTGGCGGGCATGGGGCTGACGAGAAGCAACGCACGGGAGGCCGTCCATGCCGTTGCTGCCATGCGGGCCTTCCGTCCGATCCTCTTAACACGTGCTGTGTAATGATATCTTGGAGGTGCGTGCTGCCCTGGCTATCTCTCACGTAGGCCCAAACTGCAGCTGGAGGAGGAGGCGGAGGAGGAGGAAGAGATAAGAAAGGAGGATCAGGAGAAGGGACACGAAGGATCGGGGGAGGGAGGTTGACGGGAGAACACTGTTGGAAACTTGTCTTTTCTCCTCGCTGCGTCGTCGTCGCCCATCGTTCACCGTCGACCGTCGCTCGTCGTACATCGTCGTCGGTCGTCGGTCGTCGATCGTCGGCCGCCACTCGTCAGTCGTCGGTCCAGTGGCCGTCGGTCGTCGTCGGTGGTCGGTCGCAGGACGACGGTCGTCGCTTGTCGTCGAGGTCGGCCGTCGTCGTCGTCGGCGGTTGTCCGCCGTCTGCCACGCGTCGTCCGTAGTTCACAATCGCTGCCCGCTGCTCGTCGGCCAGCGCACTCGCCGTCGCCAGTGCGGGTTGGGGCCGCCCACCCAGGGGGGGAGCCGAGGAGGCGGGCGAGCTCCGCGGCGTAGGCGTCCTCCCCAGCGGCCTGCGGACGCGAGGGGGGATGAGGAGAGAGAGGGGGGATGAGGAGGAGGAGGAGCAGGAGGAGGAGGAGGAGCAGGAGAAGGAGGAGGAGGAGGAGGAGGAGGAGGAGGAGGAGGAGGAGGAGGAGGAGGGGGGGGGGAGGAGGGGGGAGGATGATGGGGAGGAGGAGGGGGGAGGATGATGGGGAGGAGGAGGAGGATGATGGGGAGGAGGAGGAGGAGGAGGAGGAGGAGGAGGAGGAGGAGGAGGGATGACGAGGAGGGCGAGGAAGCAAGAGGAGGAGGAGGCGGAGGCGGAGGAGGAGGCGGAGGAGGCGGATGGAGAGAGGAGAGAGGAGAGAGGCACGCTAGAAACGCTCGCGCCACATCTGGCATCCAAACCCTTCCTTCCGTCCCTTCCCATTGCGTTCTGGTCATTTCTCTATTCACCGACTGGGGTATCCTCGAGGAAGTTGCTGCTCAGGCTGCGACCTACGGGGCCGCCATGGGCTTGTCACCCAGCGGCAGTCAGGACGACCACCTCTCACACGCTGCCGTTGCGCATCAGGATTCTATCGCATCAGGATTCGAATTGCGAGGCACACACACCTGACGCGAGCTTGTAAGACAGGACCACAGTGACTTCGTGTGGTCCTGGATGTGCTCTGGAAATGCCAGGATTGCTGGGTCGGGGGGCCGAAGGGAGCTCTCGGAAAGCCAGATTGGGTCTGTGATGGGAAGTTGGTCCCCGGGCAGGGGAGCGATACCAATTGGATTCAGATGGCCAGGTGCAGCACTGACAGATGTTTGAAGCAGGCGCATGCTGCCGCTGGTAGGGAATCGTTTCGTCAACGTCAACGGCATGTTGT